TCAAGTTGCTCAAACATAGATTATTGTTATCTTTCACTCTTTCATGGTATCAGAGCCCTACGTGGGTTAATCAATTATCTTATTCTTTGAAATCCTCCAATGGCCTCCCAACCTGCATCTTCTCTTCCCAACGTCTCCTGCCTTGTGTCCATTAAACTTGACGGCGACAACTACACACTTTGGCTAGCTCAATTTCTTCCTGTCCTGCGCAGCAATGAACTTATGGGCTATGTCGATGGAACAAAGCCCTGCCCAAGAAAACTTCAAGATGATGGTACAACCATATCAGCTGATTATATTACATGGCAGAAGCAAGATCAGCAACTTCTGAGTTGGATAGTTTCCACTCTCAGTCCCACTGTTTTGGCAACAGTTACAAGGTGTGCAACCTCTCAGGAGGTGTGGCAGTCTTTGCAACGTCGGTATTCTTCTCAGTCTCGATCTCGAGTACTCCAATTAAAGCATCAGCTACAAACAACAAAGAGGGGTAATTTATCCATTACCGCCTATATAGATAAGATGCGCAACATCGCTGATAAACTTGTCCTTGCAGGCAAGCCAGTTGATGATGAGGACTTCATCGACCTTATACTTAATGGTGTTGGTGCTGCATTTGAAAGCACTGTCAATTCAATTTTAAGTCGGGAAAAAGCTGCGACACTTGATGATGTAACAGCTTTATTACTTAACGCAGAAACCCGAATGGAAGATTATCATTCTTCCCTTCCTTCTGATGGCACCTCTAATGCTTTATTTGCCTCCCAACCACACAGTTCTTATCAAGGACGCGGTCGTGGTGGTTCCTTTGTTTCTAGGGGCCGCGCAGGCTCTTCCTCTGGCAATCGCAGTGGTTTTACCAACTCTGGCCCAACAGTCAATCGTGGTGGCAGTTCGTTTTCTGCAAGTCGTGGTTCCAATTCCTTTCGGAGTAATTTCAATTCCTCCCGACCAGGTGCTCTTTCTCAAGGTCGTGGTGGAACTTATGGCTCATTCTTAGCTCCTTCTACGAACCAGGTTCGATGCCAGTTTTGTGGTGGCTTTCGCCATACTGCGATTAATTGTCATCGCTTGACTAATCTGTTAGAAGGTCGTATGCCTCCTCAACAACTTTCCTCTACTGCATTGGTTGCTGCATCTCCATCTGGACTTGAGAAAACAGATACATGGTATGCTGACAGTGGTGCCTCAACCCATGTTACTGCTGATTTAGGCAATCTTCAACTTCACACTCCATACCCGGGTTCGGATCAAGTGGCTGTTGGTAATGGTGCAGGTTTGGCCATTTCAAATATTGGTTCAACTAGTCTATCTGGTTTTAAACTGAATCATGTGTTACATTGTCCCTCTGTGTCTGCCAACTTGTTAAGTGTTAACCAATTTGCAAAAGATAACAATTGTTATTTTATCCTTACTTCTGATTCCTTTTTTGTGAAGGACACGCTAACGGGGAAGACGCTTTTCCAAGGCAAGAGTGAAAATGGATTGTATCCATTTCGTCCGTCACTGCCAGTTTTTAAAGCATTTGCTGTGATTGGTGAACGTACATCCTCATTTGTTTGGCATCAACGTCTAGGTCATCCTTCAAGTGTTGTTTTTCAGAAAATTGCTTCCTGTGTTCCACTTAGTCATTCTGAGTCTAAATTTTGTTCTTCTTGCCCTATGGGCAAAAGTACAAAGCTTCCATTCTCTTTGTCTAGTTCTGTTTCGGTATTGCCTCTGCAATTGATACATTGCGATATTTGGACTTCTCCAGTTGTGTCAAATAAAGGATCCAAGTATTTTATCTTATT